ATTGGAAGACTTCACCATTTTGCCCTTTCTTTATATCAATGCACATTGAAATGAGTTACAAAAAATACACATACAATATAGGAATGGTCATATTAATTGTAGGGGTAAAATGGAAAAGAATTAATTAATTCTATCCTAATTTAATAAGTGCTCAAATAATATGAAAAATAAAAATTTAGTAAGATTCTCATCTAATATGGGACGGAGAGAATAACAATATAACTTTATTAATGTTGGGCCCGGGCAGCGCCCGGGCTTTCGTTACTAGTATATATATATATATATGAAAATTACCTCACAAACTCTTATACTTTTTATTTAGCGTCACCTGACTGTAAGAGCTGACCAACTGCTTCAATGGCGATAGCCGCCGCCATTACAGTGCCTCTCACAACCCCAACCCGCCGGTCTCTTTCTTCCCTTTCCGCTAATCCCAATCGAATCTCTTCTCCATTCACTTTACAATCGAACAAGCTCAAATTCGCCGCCATACAGTGCCCTAGTTTCCGGATTTCTGCGGTATCATCAATGAAAATCGAAGTTCCGGAGAATAGCTCTTCGGCTTCTTTCCTTGATCGTAAAGAAAGCGACTTTGTTCACTTTGTCAAGTACCATGGCCTGGGCAACGACTTCATACTGGTAATACATACACAATGCTCAATATTGAATATAGCTTTTTCTAATTTACGAGGAATTTGCAAGTAAAAGATGAAACTTGCTGCATTGGTTTCCAGCTATTGTTTTTTCTCCCCACATTTTACTAATTTGTTCTCCCTTTAAATACTAGTTCCACTAATGATCAAATTCACAGTTTATCTATTGAAATCTTTTGGTACAAAGTTTAAGATGATGGTATTTGACATAATACAAAGTTTAAGATGTTAATTTTCCTTGTGTATGATAGTAGTGGAAGAAAATAATTGAAAAGTTAGTTTTTAGTTGTAAAATTTGTTTGGTACAGAAAGCATGACTTTAAAGTTTTAACTTTAAAATTTAATAAAGGAATTTGAATTCTTGAAAGTTGTATGTAATAGTAACAATAGAATGATGTAGAGCTCTTATAGACATTCAAAAACGAACAGAGTTGCATATAAATTGGAACTAAGGGAGTATTTAAGTATCTTTCTCGTGCCTTTTAATTTGAATACGGTGAAATTATCTCACTTTTATACATCTTGGAGCTTCTTCTTTTTTTCCCTCTATCTTGAATTGCCTTATCTTTCTTGCCGTTCTCTTTTCCTGTCTTTGCAATATGCTAAAATGCTGCTTCTTGTTCAATAACATGTAAAAAGGATGGATTTTTACCCTAGTGATGACTTGTTTAGAGTTTAGTCTTGGAAAAAAATGCAATCTTGCGGAAGATAACTCACAATTTTTGCTGGAATATTGCTGGTTTTTAATAAACAATTGACAGTTTACAATGTTGAAAGTTGGGTATATTATTTATTTGATTAAGCTCACAATAGTTAAGGTCTTGAGACCAAAACCCTATGTTTATGAATCACAAATAGCAGTCTATACCTGGAATTTTGACATTTGGGGAAATACACATAAAAGTATGGGTGGGAAAGAGCCATGGTTCTTTGATTAGATGCTTATCCTTTATATGCTTGTTTTGAGTAGGTTGACAATAGAGATACAACAGAACCTAAGGTCAGTCCTGATCAAGCTGTGAAACTGTGTGATAGAAACTTCGGTATTGGTGCGGATGGGGTAATATTTGCAATGCCGGGTGTCAATGGCACTGATTATACCATGAGAATCTTCAATTCAGACGGAAGTGAGCCAGAGGTAACAGCACCTGTTCTTTGAATCTAGAATTGATTGCATCTGTCTCGGGAAGAAGTAATCTGACCTATTTGACTTCTAAACATGGTGTCTTTGTGTTTGCACATCTATGATTGAGAGAATGATAGAACGTGTTGAAATGTATCTTGCTGTCCATTCTGTCTCCCTCTCTCTCTATCTTTCTGATTCCTTACTTTTGTTGAATTTCCTTTAGTCATGCCCTTGCTTTCCTTATTTGGTGGCAAGAAAATATAAAAAGGACTTCAGAAGAACCATGATGTTGTCATTTTTCTTTGTGACATGTGTAAAGATATCAGTGTATATATTGAATATCCTTGCATATCTGCTAACCATGCTGTTGGGTCTGTTTCACCCTGTGCATTAGAGAAGTATATTGATGCATATGACTTCCTCCAGTACTTCTATTTTTGCAACTTCAACTTGTCCTGGAAGCCCTACACTGCAGTTGCTTCCTCACATGGAGACAGTAGTTTTACTGTGCTTGGGTTGTTGGAGCAGCTAAATACCACAGGAGAGGTGCCTGTTTATTTGTGGTATAAATCTAATGTCGAGATCAGTCTAACAGCAGGGGTTTTGCAAAGTGGCAATTGGCCCGGGCTTATTGTCTTCTCTGCTGAGCAAGTATTGCATATTTTTGTGAAAAAACAATGTGCAAGAACAGTATTTTGACATTTGGGTAACCCCAAACGGTCTTGCAGCGATGATATAAATCAAGGAGCTGGTGTGACCATGAATTCTGATATAAGCTTTGTCCATGGTGTTCTGAATGATGGCCCTCAATCTGAGAAATGGAACAGTAGTATTTTTAGACCAGCTCCACCTGCTGATCTTAACCAGTGCCTTCATCTGTCTAGTGGTCACTCAATTGTTGAATGGATTGATGACTGCTCAGTAGTAGTCTTATCGATCATTTTTGAGATTTTTATTAGACTCTTTTGTGGGTTAATGTCATTAGGATATCCAGTTACAATCATTTTAAAAAGGAGCAGCCATATCTTTTCTGATGACAAGGTTAGCGTGAAACTTGGTTGGTTCGAGCAATTTCATCTCAAATTTCCAATTCACAAGTTTGATCACTCGTGGATCCAAGATGGAATGATGCTTGAGAAAAAGACAGTTTTAAGATTGCCCGGAGGTTGAAAGAGCAAAAGCTTTTATTGGTGAACAAAACAAAAGAGCTACTATACCATATTCACGAAAGCAAATGCTCTATGAACAGCAAGTCGACCAGCTTGAAAGTTGCCATTTGCCTCTCCGTGATCAAATGTTACAGTTAGAAGGTGCAAACACCACGACAACACTATTATTGATGCTTTGGGAACTACATCAGCTGCAAGGGAAGTCGGGCAAAAGGCTCCGACTATTGAGGATATTGACAAAATAATTATTGCAATCAGCGAGCAGATGGAGATTATGAAAATGCTACAAGCAGCAATCTTTTTGCATATTTGTGCAGCTGCTGATTTTGTCGAAAGTGAGTTGCAGGCAACAAATAATGCGTTGAAGATTATGTTAGCTGGATATTGTCTGAAAATTGCTCCAAATTCTATGAAATGCTAGGGAAAGCTGGTGGGGCTTCCATTGGACTAAAGATGTGGTCTTGCTCTCAACACAAGATTAAGTGTTTGTTGGATGCTTTTGAAATTGGGAAGAGATATGCAGTGTTGGTTATATCTTTAGAAGAGTCACCCCACAATGAATGTAACCTACTGGAAGTTGATTTTGTGTTGGATGCTGGAAGGATTTGGTTCAAGTTGGTTGAGAAAGTGGCAGTCCCTTTGAGTGCTTTTTGGACTACAGAGTACAGATGCCAATGCCATCAATTCATAATGTCTTAGAGGAGTTGGATCCAACAATTCTCAATGCCCTCAGTTCAAAGCTCCATAAGGTGTTCAAAGTTGGTCCTTTAGTTCTGCCATCTTCATCTCCCAAGAAACTCCTTGATGTATATCTTGTTAGACATGGATGCATCCTCTGGTTTGAAAAGCAAAACGAAGAATCATTGTTGAAAATTGCTTTGGATATTGAAGCGTCTAAGGAATTCCTCTGGGTTGTTAACACTTATAAAGAGGAACAAGACAACACTTTGGTCTCATTACGGCTAAACTCGAACCTTGAGGACAAGGTTCTTATTGAGGTGGGGAGAATTGTTATGAATGTAACTAAGATGGAGGACGCATGTGAGAAGATGTCAAATTACATTTGGGACCCCGGGAAGATGCCTATATATTGAAGAGGGAAATAATCAATTAGGGTTTATGCTATGAAGTCGTCTCTTTATTTCTTAGTTGCTTAGACTAATTCTGGAACCTCCCTCCATTCTTCTTTTTATTTCTTCTTCTTCCCTTGGAAGATTTGTTACTAGTTTGGAGTAATTATAATGGTGAACTCTTATATTTGTAATTCCAATTATCCATTTGAATACAATATGGGTTCATTACATATTTCCTTTTGTCTACAAACAGATGTGTGGTAATGGAATTCGATGCCTTGCCAAATTTATTGCTGAGCTTGAGAACTTCCACGGAAAGAAAAGGTATTTATATCCTATTTGTTTCTCTATGTACAGTAATCTACTTTATAGAGTCTCAAACATCTGCCTGGTATTTACTGCTTTATATTTGTTGAATTACTTACTTGTTTCTTTGTATTGAAAACTTCTGGGGAATTTGAAGCTTCTTTAAACTTACTTATTTGGTGCTTTGGAGGGGTCAATTTTGAATTTGCTTGACGAATTTAAGATTAGCAAATATCGTGAACCATCATGGAACATCAATACTGCTTCCATAACTTGATCATGCCATTCACGTCTGAGAATTTTGTACTGTCAAGCAACATAGTTAGTTTTTCTTTTTCAATTCTTTTTCTGCTTAAGGTTCCCTCTTTATATAATATTTGTGCTACTTATTATTTGAAGTGGCATCATGAAAAGCTCTACATAGAGATCCTAAGCACCATATGCTATTTGGTTGGTGTTTCAATAGCTGTATAACTGAACATATTCTAGTGGCTTGGATGGTTTGCTGTTTTAATAGGCCATTATTCAGGATATAAATGCATCTTGGGACAGCTGAAATTTAACAGTTGTGTGAATACGACCATCAGATCTCTGCATGAATTGAACAGTGATAAGAATCATCACTTTGTTGTTCAGTACACTTAATCTGATCCTGGTTGGTAGGACTAATTGATTGAATAACTATCGATTTGATTGTTGTGGCTCACCAATCTTGATATTTTGTTAAATTCAATAATAGTATTATGGCATCTAGTGAATTTGATTTTCTTATTAGTCTGGCTGACTGACTGTCATCTCTTTTTGTAGTTTCACCATACATACAGGGGCTGGACTTATTGTTCCTGAAATCCAAGATGATGGAAAGGTAAATTCCATTTTTCTCAGCCATTTTGCTAGCTTAAGGGCTCTATTTTGCATGGATAGAGCAAAAGGATACATCAGATCATATAGCACACCTCTTTTTCAAAAAGATCATATAGGCGCCCCAACTAGATTGGGATTGCCACTTAGTTGGTTGATTGATTGAAGGAGCTGCATGCTGTTAGGCATTCAACACTGAAGTCACTGAAGTTTGATGTCAGATTATTTTGAATTAATTGGGAAGGCAATCACATGGTTTCCTTTTTTTTTTTTTTAAAACTTAATAGTTGTTTCTAATTCCAGGTTAGGGTTGACATGGGTGAGCCCATTCTAAAGGCAGCAGATGTGCCCACTAAACTACTCCCTAACAGAGATCAATCTGTCGTTAAATCAAGTCTAGATGTAGATGGAAGCACATGGAATGTAACCTGTGTTAGCATGGGGAATCCCCATTGTGTCACTTTTGGTACAGCACAAAGCCAGGTATTTTCTTTGGTTTAGTGCTATTTGTTGCAATTCTTGTGGAATCAAAGGCAATGGCGCTACAGTTGATATGAACTTTGTTGTATAGGGATAATAAAATATTCCGTTATCTCTAAAAGGCTCAGGACTCTAGCCTATGAAAAGAATGGATAACTTCTCTTATTTCACACAATTCTTTTGTCCATGCCTAATGCCTTGTCCTCTTTACCTTATATTTTGGATTGTAAGTTGAACATGAGAGTGCTAAACATTGTACCAAGCTGTTTTCTCTGTAAAAACGGCCTCTTAAAATATGCCATGTTTTATTTTAAGATAACAGGTCAATCATTCTATTATATTCTTAAGATGAAATGGAGTAAGGTATTTCATAGGATATTAATATCATCTTTTTCCTATGAATACTAGTCATTCTGTTTCCTGTTTCAATTTAGTGGTTATGTGATTCATTATTTAACAGTAAACATCTGCTTGTGCAGAAATAGAAAAAAATTCACTGAGGGCTTTATGTCTCTCCCATTTATTAGGTTTTAATTGCTTTCGTTTTCTGCTTATCATGCAACAGGAGTTGCAAGTAGATGAACTAAAATTAGCAGACATTGGTCCAAAGTTTGAACATCATGAGATGTTTCCTGCTCGCACTAACACAGGTCCGTTTAAATCTTAGCATGAAGAAACTTAATATCTTTATTGATGCAGGAGTTGATCTTCATGTCAGCCTTGTTATATTTTCTTCAAAAAGTATTTGAACTGCAAACCAAGATATTAGCATGATATTTCATTTGAAAATCTCCCTAATCCAATAGTAGTTGTGAGAAAGCAGAATTTAGTTTCACATTGATCACATTGTTCAAGCTTGTTACCAGAGTCATACACTGATTCTGAACTTTGCCAACCGAATTCATCATAACTCATTGATCTGCACTTTCCTTTTCTTTTTCCTTTTGGCTTTGCTATTAGGTAGAACTTCCTTAGGGCGATGAAATGATAAGGCCTTGACTCCCACTTCTCCTTTTTCCCTCCTTATGCCAAAAGTTCTTTCCAAAATGACGGATTGTCCTATTTATTCTGTTGGAATTTGCCTAGAAATGAAATAGAAGTTTGAAAATCTCTTCAGGAAGCGCTGCAGCCAAGGAAACCATGGCTGTAGCACCTTGCGTATGTCTGAGTCCAAGAAATCTGGCCCATGGTCTGTGCCATGAGTTTCGAGAAGTTATATTTCAAGAATATAGTTATCTCCTGCTCATTCCAAAAAGTTAAAGATTTCTATTTATACCCCTTGGAATTTCTCTAGAAAGGAAATGGAAGGTTGAAAATTCCTAAAACTAATCTTCCATAGCCTTCGTAGACCAACACTAGGAAGTACGACACCTGAAAAATATTGGTCATATGCATGGCAGCTAATTTTTGCAGCATACCTATATTTCTGTCCTTGCCAATAATTGCTCAACTGAAGGAATAATATCAGCCTGTCAAAAGGTTTGATATGGATCATTCAGAAACCCATGTCATGCCTAAGTAATGTCTAGCAAGATGTACACTATTTATAATTGGGTACCTTTGGCTCGTTGTATATGGTATGAAGTGAATCCAGAAGAGGGTGATGAAACAATGTTGATAAAAAATCTTAACTAAATGCAACTAGAGGAACCTCGCACTAGACGACCCAAAATTTACATGTCGTGATGGCACCTATGTTCCCAATCGATAGGTAAGCCAACTCACTAGTTTTACCAATTTAACTAAATAATTAAGGTGAAAAGATAAACAACAAATAGAATAGCAGGGTTATTACACACACTAAATGCATTTCCAGGTGTCACTGAAAGTCCTGATACTCCAATCTGGAAAATGCACAAGAAAGGGATTTTTTCTGTGAAGTCTTGTTACTGGAGCTTAAACTCTAATCAGGCTATGGAAATGGAATGGCCTTGGAAACTAATCTGGAAAATCAAGATTCCTCACAATGTCTCAGGTTTTATTTGGTTGGCAATTAGGAAAGCATGTCTAACTCATGAAGTGTTACAAAGAAGAGGTATACAGATTTGCTCAAGGTGTTTCATGTGTGGGGAAGAGGCAGAAGTTAATAGTCACTTATTCTTACACTGCAGAACAGCTGCAAATCTGTGGAACATGTTCTTATGTACACTTGGAGTTAACTGGGTAATGCCCAAGACTACTTTAGAGTTGTTGAGACAGTGGGAAGGAGTGGGCAGAAGAAGAAGATCCAAAGAGGACTGGTGGAAATGCATCCGAGCCTGCATCTGGTGGACATTGTGGAAGGAAAGAAATGAAAGATCACATGATGGGAAACTTAACAGCACTCAGAAAATCAAGATGAATAGCTTGAGCCTGCTGTATTTTTGGTGTAAACAGGATTTGGTGGGGGAGGTAGATAGTTAGGGGATTTTATAGTTCAATTGTAAAGTTTTGCCCAGTTTTTGGCTTTTGATATTACCCCCTGGGGGATGTAAATCCCACCTCATCAGGTCTTGCTGATGAGTTTTGATGTGAATATAAAGTTACCTTATCAAAAAAAAAAAAACCTCAAACACTTAAGTCTTTCATAAGTATGAAATGCGGAAAAATTAAAATGCCACCCAAGATTTTGGTGTCATAAGTACAAGAGCTTCTAAAATACGGTGCAAGTCTGAAACTAAAATGACAAGTCTAAATGTAAGAAATGTCTTGTTTGGATACTAAAACAACATAATAAATAATAAGATAGAGAGAGGTGTGGGTTGCGGAATAGCCAAACAGCTCACCACAACTCCAAGATACTCCAAGCTCGGACTCAAAAAGTTTCACGAGGTGTGCTCGTATTCGGAATCAAATCTACACCACAAAAGAGTGCAAAAAGTGTAGTATGAGTACGAAACCACGTATACTCAACATGTCTCATAGACCAATAGCGAAAAAGTAGTGACAAGGGTATATAAGAAAATCATCCTTTAATTTTACAAGTTTACGTTATACTTATCAGACAAGTTTCATCAAATAGGGATATAATCAAAGGTCACGTAACGTTAACCACCAATTAAGCACATAATCAAATAAGAATAAATGATGTAATGAGATGCAATACAATGCAACACCATGAAATGATATGCCTAAGATGCTCTACCGTATATACATAATACTTCTTTGAAATACATTGAGAGTTCGTGACCAATGGGGGACTCGCGAGGTCCATATACCGACACAGATGATCTCCACGTGTCTATGCGGACGATTGCAACGCACTATCATAAAATCAAACAATCCCAGCACGGACGATCTCCACGTGCCCAACTTATAATCATACAATTGAACAATCTTCGGCACGGACGATCTCCATGTGCCCAACTTATACTCAATCTCATATCAATGCATGTGTTCAATATGATATCAATAACAGGGGATGATGATGCATTTCAATCAGTCAAATATTGGTATGACATATACTCACCTCAACTATCACAAATATATGGGTTCAATAACGAAACACAACACAAAAGAACCCAAGTCAATAATACATTCAGCTAATTCCCATATGCTTTGGCATTCTCAAATTACAATCCGGCATTCGATAGTAATAAACTTTCCATTTGTAACACCAATACTCGTACCAATGCTCGTCACACCATTGGTACAAGAACCCCATCTTTCGCCCTTACCCATTGTCTATTCCATTTTTAATTTTTAATTAGAAAAACGTCCTTCAACGAAGTCTGAAAGTTTGAAAGTCTTAACATACCTTGAATACCGAACACGTGTCACAAATCCTCAAGATTTCACCTTTCCCTTTCGTAAAGCTTCAGAATGTTCCCAATCTATTAAATAGTTATTATTAAGTAAACATGTTTGTAGGCACTCATATTACTATATGTCTATCCTAAACCCACAAACTCACCCAAATCTATAAGCAATTTCCTAGACCTCAAGCCTAGGGTTAAGTTTTAATTCCTCCAGATCATATAACTCTAATGGTATTTATACAATACACCTAATTTGATATATTGGTATATGTAATTAAATATTAGGTGTATTGTATTATATAAATACCATTAGAGTTATATTATTTGGAGGAATTAAGATTTAACCCTAGGTTTTGAGGTCTAGAAAATTGCTTATAGATTTGGGTGAGTTTGTGGGTTTAGGATAGACATATAGTAATATGAGAGTCTACGGACTTGTTTACTTACGAATAATGACTATCTGATAGATTGCGAATATTCTGAAGCTTTACGAAAGGGATAGGCAAAATCTTAAGGATTCATGTTCGGCATTCAAGGTATGTTAAGACTTTCCGACTTTGTTGAAGGATGTTTTTCTAATTAAAGATTAAAAATGGAATAGACAATGGGTAAGAACGAAAGATGGGGTTTCGTACCAATGGTGTGATGGACATTGGTATGAGTCTCGATGTTATAAAGGGAGAGTTTATTACTATAGAATGACATTGTAATTTGAGAATGCCAAAACATATGAGCATTAGCTGATGTATTATTGACTTGTGTTCTTTCGTATTGTTGTGTTTCTTTATTGAACCCGTATATTTGTGACAGTTGAGGTGATTATATGTCATACCGATATTTGATTGATTGAAATGCATCATCATCCCTTGTTATTGATATCATATTGTACACATGCATTGACATGAGATTAGGTGTAAATTGGGCACGTGGAGCTTGGATTGTTTGATTTTGTGATTATAAGTTGGGCACGTGGAGACTACTATCCGAGCTGGGATTTTATGATAGTGCGTTGAGATCGTCTGCGCAGACACGTGGAGATCGTCCATGTCGGTATATGGACCTCGCGAGTTCCCCTTGGGTCACGAACTCTCGATGTATTTTCGAGAAGTATCGTGTATATACGGTTTAGAGAGTACTTGGCATCTGAGGCATATCAGTTCATGGTATTGCATTACTTCGTTTATTCTTATTTGATTATGTGTTTAATTGGTGGTGGGACATTACCTGGCCTTTGATTATCCCTATTTGATGAAACTTGACTTATAAGTATAATGTAGACTTGTAAAATTACAGGATAGTTTTCTTATATACTCATGTCACTACTTTATCGTTGTCTATCTATGAGACATGCTGAGTATACGTGATTTCGTACTCATACTACACTTGTTGCACTCTTTTATGGTGCAGATTCGATTCCGAATACGAGCACACCTCGTGGAGCTTTTTGAGTCCGAGATTGGAGTATCTCGGAGTTGTGGTGAACTGCTTGGCTGTTCCGAAGCCTACACCTCCCTCTATCTTATTATTTATTTTGTTGTTTTAGTATTCAGATAAGATATTTCTTACATTTAGACTTGTCATTTTAATTTTAGACTTGCAACATATTTTAGAAGCTCTTGTACTTATGACACCAAAATTTTGGGTGGTATTTTAGCTTTTCCACATTTCATACTTATGAAAGACTTAGTGTTTGAGGTATTCTACTTGTTGTTTATCTTTTGATCTTAATTATTTAGTTAAATTGGTAAAACTAGTGGGTTGGCTTACCTATCGGTTGGGAACATAGGTGCCATCACGACATGTAAACTTTGGGTCATGACAATTTGATATCAGAGCACTAGGTTCATCGGTCTCACGAGTATAAGAGCAATGACTAGTAGAGTCTTGCGGATCGGTATGATGACGTCCATGCTTATCTTTGAGAGGCTATAAGACATTTAGGGAACTTCTATCCTTTCATTCCTTATCGTGCGCATTTGACTTTGTTGAAATTGTATTCTTGTTGTCTCATTCTCTCACAAATGATGAGGACTCGTGCATTCGTGATCAAAGATCAAGAGTTTGTACACACACCCGCTGCTAGGTTTATTGAATGAGGTAGATGCAGGGGTGAGGTCAAGTTAGAGGTTGTGTTGCACTACGTTTGATAAGAGGCCTATCATGACCGTCGATGAGCAGAAAGTGTTTGAAGGGGTCAGGATGATGAATCCTCCAACCTATACTAGTATCTTCAGTGAGAATGCGTATGAATTTATATCACTTTTTACGAGGGGTTGCACAATCTTTGATTAGTGGAGTCCCATGGAGTTAACTATACATCGTTTCATAATATTGGCCCTATCAAGTAGTGGTGGAGATATTACATTAATAGTAGGCCAACTAGACCATCTCCACTCTCATGGACTTTGTTTACTCAGGTGGTTTGTTCCACTCAATGAGAGGGAGTGTAAGAGGACTGAACTTGAGGGTTTGCAACAAGAGGAAATAACAGTGACAAGTATGAGGTTAAATTCTATGTCTTGGTTAGACACACTTCAATGTAACTTCCTACCGAGGCTGAGAGAGTGAGAATGTTTCTCAAAGGGTTGATCTTTTTTATTCGCATGGGAGTTCCTCAAGTTGCTGCTTCTGGTGTTCAATTTCAGAAAGTGATAGATGTTTTCAAGGATTTAGAGATGATTCGATATGAGGGATTTGAGCAGTGTGAGGGCAAGAGGGTCCATCATTCGAGTTGGATATGGTATGTGAGTCACTTTATTTGCCTGTACATGTTTCTACTTCTACTGGATATTTCATAGTGGTAGATCAAGGATATCGATCGTACGTAGTTACTTTGATGGGATATGGTACTCAAGTGGGATGAAGGTCTTATATATGATAGATTCTGATATTATTTTTTTGGCTAGATTGGTTATCTCTTTATCATGCGATTTCCAGATAAGGGTGATGAAACAATGTTGATAAAAAATCCTAGCTAAATGCAACTAGAGGAACCTCGCACTAGAGAGTAGAGAAATGCCGGCAATTGAAGAATAATCAATTCAGGTCTCAGAGTGACCAGTAATTGTAATAGCACGTGGTGGTGTCTGCAACTCTGTTGAAGGTAATAAGCTGATTTATGGAGTGGAAAACAGTAGTTGGACACTTTTCAACTAATAGAAGCTAATTAAAAAATATTATAGCCATTCACGATGCTTAAGTGGAAATAAAAGTAACAATTAAATGCAATATAACAAACTGAAAAATTTGAGATGGTGTTGGAAGGAAGAAAAAAGGATGGGAAGAGGGGAAAGGAAGATAAAGGAAGGTGAAAAGAGAAGTAACTAAAAGTAGGTTAAAAGTAAACGGAAACAAGAGTAAACAATAAACAAAAAAATTGAGGGAGAATATAAATGAAATATAAGGATGCAACTTGTCTACAGTGTACGATTTGTTTGTTTCTTTGGGGGGTTTTAAACGAAAATGCAATTTCAGTATTTGGAAATGTACTAAATGTAGTAGAACTGGTCTAACATTATATAATGTGGCTTTAGAAAGAGATGAAGACTGCACGTTAGCCAAAAAAAGGTTCTGTTTTTAGTTAATCAGTTCGGTTGTATGTGCTCTACTTTGACAAGCCGTTCATGGTTTATTTACCGGATTAACATTTCTTATGTAAAGTGACTGAGTGCTTGTCATTTGGCATGCATTATCCAACAGCAGTGTTTTTGTCTGGCAATAAAGGGCTTTAGGTGCACTTCCAGTATCATTATAGGTGTAGGGTGATGCAATCTTTAAGTTTATCGTCTGTGTTTAAAATGTAGCTTCCTGATTAAGATTTAAGAGTGCACTCGATTTTTGTGTTTCAAGCACTTGCTGCTCTTTGATGCAGATAAAGAAGGATTACCAAATGTGTGTTTATGGTCGTGGTGTTTCATTTGTTATTATTTCATGAACTCCTTTCTTGCATCTTTTGGGTAAACATTGACATATTTGGTTGATGTGCAGAATTTGTTCAAGTTTTCTCCCCAACACACCTTAAAATGCGTGTCTGGGAACGTGGTGCAGGTTTGTTTTCTGAACAAAAAGGAAACCTTCACCTTACAAATAATTTGATGTATTAGATTGGTGCCGTTACTTGCTAAATGTAACTGTGAATTTATCCCTTTTCGAGTATAGGCGAGACACTTGCCTGTGGGACAGGAGCTTGTGCCGTTGTTGTTGCAGCAGTGCTTGAGGGTCGTGCTGCAAGGGTAAGAAGTTGATTACTTTTGGGTTTTAATGCTGGAAAAAACTAAAATCATGTCAAGTATGTGTGACCGTCTTTCCCATTTGTTGCGTTACTGATTGCTCCTTTGATCATTGCTCTTCCCCGTTACCAAAGCAGCGTTGTACTGTTGATCTGCCTGGTGGACCACTTGACATTGAGTGGAATGAGAACAACCATATATACATGACGGGGCCAGCAGAGGTAGTTTTCTATGGGTCAGCTCCTCTTTAAGCCCCTAAATGTAAGTTTATTTGTACTTCATCCTTTCTGTAAGTTTATTTTGATCTTCCAGAATTCATAAATTTGCTCCAAATCTTTGCCAACTTCGTTGGAGAATGAAAGTAAAGCAGACAAATTGATCTTTGGATAAACCACATTACTTTCATCGTTGCCTCAAATTGAAATTCTTTTGTTGTGATTTCTCAAAGCTGTGAACTTTTACTTTCTCCAATTTAGTCATTTCAAGGACGCGGAGAAAGTACATTAGTTTCATATTGGCTCCTTGAAGTAGTACAAGTATCATCACTGAACGGAGGAGGCTGTTCTTCTCGTGGAGGACACTCACACTATAGAACAAATGGGTTGTGTTGAGCTTAGGCGAATTACATTAGATGCAGACCCATACATACCATGTATAAGATCAAGCCCGGGCCATTGACAAACCTAGTTTGCGCCTACAACTAAAATGAGTAATTAGTTGAAACAAAAAATCTCTTTATATAATGTGATTGCTCACTGTTCCATAGAGATTACATGTTGATGGATATATACACCTACATTATGGGTAGATATTGAAATAAATGTCCACCCTGGTAAATAAAAATTTCAGACATTGGACATGTTCTTACCAGTACAAATGTTATAAAATTTGTTTAATCCCATGTCTGACCTTTACATATACTTTTAAAAGTGTCCTTTACATATACTTCTAACTGGTAAGCTTTAAATATTCTGGTTGTGGGTTCAAATGAAGCTCAATCAAATGTTCTTATGGAAAAAGAAGTTGCAGACTTGGGTGTATTCGGTACGGAGGTTTTCAGTTTTCTCATGTTCGTTTGGTAAAAAAAAATTGGAAATCATCTCTACTAGGAAAACGAGTTCACTTTAGGAAAATGACTTTCCTGATGGAGGTAGGGAAAATAAGTTTCGCAAGTGATATTTCACATTGATTTTGTCCTCTCTATCCTTCAACATATATACCTCATTTTACCCTGCCATCTCTACCACAGCTACACCCTTATCCTCACCTCCCATTTGTCTAGGTTATCTACAAGTGCTTTTTTTCTTCTTGCGTATTAAACACAAGGAAACAAGTGAGGAACGCAATTACTTTCCTAGAAAATAATTTTCAAGAAAACATTTTCCTTTCCATTCTTTTAGAAAGTGTATTTTGCCTTTTACTCCACACAATACAAACTACTATTGCTCTCAGATAATATGCACATCTAACAGATGGGCTTTAGCCTTTAGGCAAGAGGTAATGCATTAGTACAAGGAATAAGAGTTTATATTCTATTGCAATAACATATTTGATGTAATTTTACTTATGGTTGGAAGGATAGAATGCACAGAGATTTTATGTCGACCTTTGTAGTAGGGGTGTACAAAATTGAATAAAAAATTGAACCAAACCGCAAATCGAGTCAAACAAAAAAAAACCCCATTGCTGGTTTGGTATTGAAAAAAAATCCGACTATATTTGGGTTGGTTTGGTTTTAACTAAAAAAAAATCAACCCGAGACCAAACCAACTCAACATTATATATATAATTTTAAAGTTTTATTTTATACATAAAAATATTTACTTTGATATAATTTTTAAATATTCCTTATACTTTTTTATAGTTTGTATCTTTTAATATATTATTTCAAGTTTGAAACTTATAATTCTGAATGGTCCAATAAAGATTATAGTCCACATATGTTGGTAATTATAAGAAAGATTAAACCAAAATCAGATTAATACTAATGCAAAAAGAAAATCAATTCAACACTAAGAAGGACAATAATATTGAATATTTGTTCTTTAGTTTTGCATTGGTTTAGACAATTAAAATACATTATGTAACTTTAATTTCCTTTAATATTTAGTCATGTAACTAATACTTATTAAACTTATTTTAGCATGATTTAGTACTTTTAATCATGATCATTTTCAATATGAATTGTTAATTTGCAATATTTGTTTTAAGCGATTTCATTATTATTATTTTTGTTGGATATTTTAGTGTCATTAATCATATCATATTTTGTGTTATTTTTTTAAGAAACACCTTAGATAGTTGTATTTTGGTAGGACTAAAGAAATATTTGAAGTACAAGTAAATTATATGTTTGTATGAATACTTTACCGGAAAAATTCGAAAAATCGAAAAACACGAAAAAATCCGAGGTTGAAAAACCCGAGTTTTATTGGTTTGATTTATAAATTTTAAAAACCGACACAAATGGTTTGGTTTGATATTTGAAAAACCCGAACCAATTCGGCCATGTACACCCCTACTTTGTAGGATAGAGATCATTTTTCTAATAGACTTTATGTTCAAAGAAATGTTTCGAAGCAAAATTGCAAGAAAAATATAATAACACAATAGCAAGATACAAAATAAATAAGACAATCGACAGTAATAGAATAAAAAACTATGTAGCTATTAGATAATACTATTAAAAAGGAGAAGAAGAGGTTAGCCCCTACCCCTCCCACAAATAATGTGAGAATCTTCGAGTACCTAGTAACCTCCTATTTTAATCATCGATCTTCAAACCTTACACTATCAAGCTTTAAAACTAATTAGGTAACTGGTTTATAGTGAATGGAGTGATATTTGAAAACATGATAACTAACCTGTTGCAACTGGTTGAACTACAGTTTGCACAAGAAAGTTTCTTATATTTCACATTAATTCAGTGAAATTCACAAATAAGGTCTAGAAAAAAAAAACTACTATCTAAGAAGAAGAAATAAGCGCATAGTTGAGTGTCAACATGTCTGCTTTAGTTGTGTCCTTCCCTCATAATAAGCTACTAGACTTATTGGTTAAAGCTAGCATTTCATGTGTAAGGTCTTAGGATTGAACTTGGGCAACATCCCTTTCTTTTAATTCCTATTTTAATGCTTTTTTTTTTTAGAATCTGATTTACTCATTTGTAGTATTTTGTTGGCCCACTTCAATCTTGTTGATTAGAATTAGTAATGTAGTTTTTATAAAATAATCTATTTAATTTTATGTAAATATTAGGTATGAAAATTTGATTATTTATGTATTACTTATTTATATTTTAGTTATTTCATCTTTTATCTGACAATAGTAATTTTTTTTAAATTTATACTTATATTAATTATGCGTGTTTCATCATACCAAATAAGTACAATTTAATTAAGTGTAGCAAATATTCCTGGCGATTTAAATTTAAATTTATGGTTTAATTGTTCAAAATTCTATCATATTTTATTGTTATTAGCTAAGTAATACGTTTGATTATTTTATATCTCGATCTTTTTATTGGTAAGTTACCTTTGATTTCTAATGTTAATGTTAGATTGTTAATATTATTAGTAGAAACAAAATAAATATTACTGCATTAAAAAAATAAAAATACCACAAATAAAAATTACAAATTTCAAACAATGGTGCAGTAGGGATGTCATTGAGACAGTTCGGTTGGTTATTTTTAAAAAAATATATCATCCCAATTTTTTGGGTATTTTATGATGTATAACTAAAATTAGACTTTTTAAAACCATCTAGATCATATAGGTTTCTCTTCGGTATCAATACGATTTGGCTAACTTTCATTTTTTTAATTTTAAAGAGTCACCTCAAAATACATCATTATTAAAACTTTTTTTTTTCGCACGTGTTTTCTTGAAGAAACACTTCAGTTCCTCATTGAGAAGTCAAGAATGCAAAACCTTGTTACTATGGTGTTTGATCTCAACTTTTAATAGGAGTGTTTGAATAGATTTTGTCATATTGTTTGATGGATACTGAGTATCTATTATAGTATCTTTTAATGTTAATCATAATTAATCAAGAGAAAAAAACATAAATATACTCCCTCTGTTCAAGTTGAAACAACCTTTAAGAAACTATAAATAGAAGAGTAATTTTATTATATCAACCTTTGAATATAATAAATACAGTGTCTTGAAAAATGTAATAGGGAAATGAGATAAGGGTAAATTAGGAACTAAGTGTAGAATTATCCATGGATTTCATAAAGTGGACAAGTATTGTTGGACATCTATTTTTAATATAGTGGACAAATATTATTAGACGGAGGGAGTACAATTTAAGCATCTAAATAATTCCTATATAACAATAGTTTTACTTTAGAAAAATTACTAGAATATTGTGTTTAAGACATTATTTTACCTGATATATATCTATTATTTTTTTACAATATTAACTTTTTAATTATATAATTATGACACGTTTTTTAGTTATTTCTTTTCAGAATTAGTGGGCAGACTCTTAATGTATTTTGTTACTTATTTGAATTACAATTATATTCGGATACAACCTTTATTAAAGATTCTTTTTATCTCTCTTATTTTTCTTTTCAAGAAAGAAGACCATGTAATTTGGTCTTCATCAATTTCAACGTTAATATCAAGGTGGAAAAAGATATTCATCTCATATTTTCTTGGTAACAATTTTGGGTTGTTTTTATTCTTTTATGTTATTCAAAAGTATCTTAAACAAATAAATAATTTGTGCTCGTTTCTAAGAAAAATCGAGATTGAGTAGAAAACTTTCTATGGATTATATTCCTAAAAAGAGTCCTCGCTTAAGAGAGTTTACTACCGATGTCAATATCTTCATTGTTTATTTAAGACCAAACTTTGAGTTGAATGCTTTCTCTTCCTCTCCCACAAGTAAATCTGAAAAAATGTCATTCATCTGGTAGTGAAATTCCTACCGTTGTTAGTTACTAGTAATAATTAAGGGTTGCAATATCAAACCCAGCCCGCTCACTATGACTATAAGAAGGGATTTCACGAGGTTAAATTCAAGAGGTCGAAAGTAATTTATAGTAAATGTTGTATAGACGGTCATAACAAAAAGACTTGTACCAATTATCCATAGCAGAATTAACATTGTTATTGATAGTTGTTTTTAAATAATTTTATCTAGCTTTGTGCTTTATTGATACAAATTCGTCAAAATATTGTGTCTTTGCGTGGTATACAATTATGTCTCATAGTAATGGACTAAAGAAAGAATCACCATATGTTAACCTTAATAAAAACTCAATATATACATATATTATACCATATAGTATACCAAATTTTACCATATATTATATCAACACGGTATCATATAATATATCAACTTTTACTTTAATGAATAAACTCAAACTAGCACCATATAATATTTTACAATATACCATATAACATATAAAAAATTGAATCATT